GCCGGCCAGGGAATAGCCCACATGGCGCAGCAGACCTCTCCTAACTTGCCCTCTGCTCCCCTCGGCAGTGTATTTCAGTCAGTCTGCCTGTTCTGTTTCCCACTCTGTCTCTGGTGAATCCTCTCGTCTCTGGCCTGTACCCCACCTCTTGTATGCATAAATAAATAAATCTTAAAAAAAAAAGTTCAGGGTGGGGCTTCCCTGGTGGCGCAACGGGTTAAGCACCCCACTATGAAGTAATCCACAGCCTCTGCAGCATGAGTTCAATCCCTGGCCAGGGAGCTGCCCACATGGTGTAGCAGACCTCTCCTGACTCGCCTGCTGCCCCCCATCAGCAGTGTATTTCAGTAGATCTGCCTGTTTCGCTCCCCACTCTGTCTCTGGTGAATCCTCTCACCCCCCACACCTCTGGCCCAGCTCTTGTATGCATAAATAAATAAATCTTAAAAAAAAAAAGATCCTTTATTTTTGACTATTATTTCTTGTTTCTAAATGACAAAAGAAAGTAATCCCATAAAGGTTTCCCTCCCCTCAACACCCTCCCCCACAAAAAAATAAAATGATAGCTCTGACTCTCTTTCTAGAAACTCCTAGAAACCTAATAGGGAGACTAGACAATGTTCCATCATTAAGGATACTGGGAGAAGACTGATTTATTGCACTGTTGAGGGTTTTTTTGTTTTTGTTTTTTTTTTTTAAGATTACAAAAGAGCTAAGCAACCTGAGTCCATGAGTTCATTTTGGGAAGGAAAAAGTGCGGAACTGCATATAGCAAAATGGGCTCAGCAGTTATCTTGGCTAAAGGGACAAAAGTTAGATTCCTGGTGTCTTTTGCTTTTTGTATTTCTCGGTATTTCTTGTTATAACTGTAATTTTTAAAAAGTAAAGACAAAGAGGCAGCTCTTCCTTTTTAAAGACAAATAGCAAGTGACACAGAAGGACCATAACTGCCATCTCTCACAGTTTATTTATTTATTATTTTAAGATTTATTTATTTATTTATATATAATGTCCTTTATGGACCTGCCAGGGTAGTAAATTGCACCATCCTGTGAGAAGGTGCCGAGTAGAAGGGTTATGAGGGTGTAGAAGTCATCTATTCACCGACACACTGTGACACTGCATGTCTTTAGAATGCAGTATTTACCATGTAATTACTCCTTCAAATACTAGCTATTTACTGATAATGGAATACCGAACACAGAAATAGGCTCAGTCATAAATTACCAGTGGTCACTATAGCAACGCTCTGTGATAAATTCTATTTTTGGTGCTGTGATTACAAAATCACTTTAATGTCATAAATATCTTAGAACATGTATTATTTTAAGTATATGAGATATATTTAAAAAATAAGTTTTAATTATTATTTTAAGTGTAATTCATAAAAGCATGTTCCCCTCCCCTGAAAAAAAAAAATGCCAGAAGACTTAATAGATATCAAACCACACAGAAGGTCATCATTTATGAAAAACTCTACACGGGCCTGTTTTACATGCCCCCATTTAAAATGATAGAGACGTTTACCTAATCTTGTCTTCCTGATTCCTGTCTTCCTGAAGGTTGTGGTTTGATCTCAGTTGAAATACCCTAGCAGTTGTTCAAAACTTTATGTTTTAAGCATGAAGAAATCAGTGATATTATCTCAACACATAAAATTTACATGATCCCAAGAGGCTGTCTTCTAGAACTTGCAATATTTCTTTTCTGTTACTCTTCAGCATAAATCATCCTAAAAAAAATACAGGTATGCCTGAAACCTAAACAATATTATAAAACAATTTTCAATAAAATAGGAAAAAAAAAACATGGTCATGGGAAAAAATCATTTTACACTTGAAGTTTGGTTTTTTTTTTAATTGCAGGGATAGACTTGGTAGCTGGTGACAGGCAGACAATTTCATGCAAGCATTGTCTTGGGGGTGCCAGTGGCTCTGGGAAGGCAGGAGATGCTGAGAATCTTAGCCTCTCTTTCCTCTTCCCTAAACCCACAGATTTTTTTTTAAGATTTATTTATTTATGCATAAAAGAGCTGGGGTACAGGCCAGGTGTGGAGGGTGAGAGGATTCACGAGAGACAGAGTGGGGAACAGAACAGGCAGATTGACTGAAATACACTGCTGAGGGGAGCAGCTGGTGAGTCCGGAGAGGTCTGCTGTGCCCTGTGGGTAGCTCCCTGGCTGGCTGGGGGATCAAACTCATGCTGCAGAGGCTGTGGACAGTTTCATAGGTTGTGTCTGAACCCCTTGCGCCACTAGGGAGGCCCACCCACAGATGGTTTTTTGAGTAGAAATATACCTTGAGCTCAGAGCAGTTCCCAGAATCCAGACAGGGCTTTTCCGTGTTTCTCATCCCACCCTGTTAAAGTGTATGGCATCACTAAGAAAACAAACAGCTTGTCACTTAGGGTCTGATTCTCTTTGGCATGTTTAGCTCATTATATGCAAGAGGTTTTCAAACCTCTTGTCAAAGATTAGGTTCACATCTAGACCATATATAGATTAACCCAATAACCATCCAAGCCACTATAAATAACACAGACAAGAGCATCAGATTTCAAGAGAAGGCATTATTTATTTATCAAATCTGGCAATTTTATTGACAACAGTTGTTTAAATTTGCATTGAATGTAATTTGGGGTCATTTAAATTTTATTTTTCTGCAGCGCTCTGCATAATACCCAAATCTTTTGCTAAGTATGCTACTCCAGTAACTTTTAGCTTCCCTAATATTTCGTAAGATTGGCACCTACCTGCAAGGTCATCTCCATGGAAAAACTCAAGATGGATGAACAACACCACGTTGTTCCCATGGGATTTTATATCAATAAAAGACTATTAATATTATGGTATATTCTTGTTTACAAAGGACTTTTAAAAAATCATTTGGTACAACTCCTTGAAAGTGGCTAGCTCAAAGTAAGGTAGAGTGTGTTGGAGGCACAGAGAGTCTGTAGGGCTTTAAAGATCACCCTGTAAGAAGCAGACTTTGATTCTTAAAAGGCTCTGGAATGAGTTTTTTTTTTTTAAGATTTATTTATTTATGCATACAAGAACTGGGGTGTAGGCCAGAAGTGCGGGGGAGGGGCACCGAGAGGCTTCACCAGAGTCAAAGTGGGGAGCAGAACAGGCAGACTGACTGAATTACCCTGCTGAGGGGAACAGTGGGCGAGACAGGAGAGGTCTGCTGTGCCATATGGGTCAGCTCCCTGGCATGGGATCGAACTCGTGATGCAGTGGCTAGTGATAGTTTGATAGTGCTGAGACTTAATCCCTTGCACCACTAGGGTGGCCTGTGGAATGAGTTTTAAACAAAACTTTTCTCTCACCTTCACCATGCCTCACTGGCTGTAGGACTCTCTGTCCTACTGGCAACAGGAACACAAGATGCCCATTTGCAACACCCCAAGGGGAATGTCCAAGCAGGAGGTGCTGGGGGGTCCTTAACTAAAGTCAGCATGTAGCCCCCAGCCTCACCCCACTGATTCCCAGAGAAACAAGCCATCTCCTGGGGCTGTCCTGCTTCTGGATGATGTATGGGTTTATCAATTCATAACTAAAGAGATTATTGACACAGCACGGACTATGTGCCAATATTCATTTTGTGAGGTACAACTCTGATCAAGACTGGTTGCCCATTGGCCATGTTAGAACCACAGTCTCGAGTGATGAAGATGAGAATGTGTCAGGAACACACAAGAAAATGTGGGCAGGGTGATGAGTGGAAGATGAGCAGCCTGGGTTGTCACAGCCAACACAGAGAGGGGTGCTGACCCAGTTCAGGGCGTTTGAAGAAAGGGGTGGCTATCTGGAAGCATGAACAACAGAAGGTGTAGGTTAAATAAAGTGGGGAAGGTACGAAGGCTACAGCATATGCAAAGACCCAGAAGTATGGAGAGTGAGCTGCGTTTGAGGAACTGGATGAACTGTGAAAGCTGAGATCCTTCATGGTGGCCACAAAAAGGGTTTGGACTTTTCCTTGACCATGAAAGGAACCAACAAAAACTTTTTAAGCAGAGGGCTGGGGTGTAAAGATAGAGGAAGCTCCTGTAGTCATTCAGCTGAATGATGGTAAGGTCACTACCTAACCACAGGGGAAGGTGCAAGTGATCTTAAGAATGCAGACTCAGAAGACATGATGGCTGGTTAGATGTATATGGCCAGGAAGAAGGAAGGAGCAAAGCCTAATTCTAACAAGAGAGGGCTGGAAACTCCTCCACGCAGGGTGCCCAGAAGGAAGTAGGGAACTGACATTAGTGCTTCTTCCCCATCTATCCCTCCCAGGTGCTCCACCCTACCCTGAACCCAACTGAAGTATTTCTTTTTTTTTCACATGAAGAAAATTTCATGTTTTACTTAGTCCTGAGACTTGGATTTTGCTTCCTTAAGCTGTATGGATGAAACTTCAATTCAGCCACTTTCAAGATATTGTTTTACATGGAAAGCTATAAGGAGGATCCTCAAAATACTAACAATGGATTTACCACAGGATTCCACTCCTAGGAATCTACCCAAAGGACACAAAAACACTAATTTAAAAGGAAACCTACACTGTTATATTTATTGTAGCACTATTTACAACAGCTAAGATATGGAAACAACCTAAATGCCCCAAGATGACTGGATCAAAAAGATGTGGTCTACATACACAGTGGAATATTACTTAGCAATCAAAAAGATAAACTTGTGCTATTTGCAACAACATGGATGGAATTTGAAGGGATCATGCTCCATGAAATAAGTCAGAAGGAAAAAGAAAAATAGCAGATAGTTTCACTTACAGCAGGAATATAGGAAAACAGAACAAAGACAAAACTTGCAAGCAAACCATAGATCTGAGGACTACAGCAGGGGAAGGGGATTAAGAGGGATAGGGGTCAAAACAAGGGAAGGAAGAGCTCAAGGGACTGTGGTGATGGATCATGGGTGCTGTGGTGGCTGGAGAATTATGGGGTCAACACCTGAGGGGAGAAATCAAACATTGTACAAAAATGAGCAATGATGTAAGAAAATAAAAAATAAAAGAACAAAAGATATTGCTTTAATTCTTCACAACACAACTTGGCCACACAAAGGACCAACGCCTGAACATAGAGTCTAAGAAGCACACAGGTCAATGAAATACATAGCACGAAACTCTGCAATTTGTCTTAAAGGATCCTCTGAAGGTGGACACAGCCAAGGGGCAGGTTTGAAAAGGAAGGGTTTTACTTGGCACAGACACATGGCTGTAAGCTGGAGGGTATTTATAAATAAAAGGCATCTTCACCATGTTTGAAGCCATGCTGAAGAATGCCAGCTTCATCATGTGGATGCTCCACAAGTCTCCCCTCTACCTCTCTCCCCCCAACTTTTAAATAGCACAGCTGCTTAATTTACTCAACTAACCTCTGGACCATGCAGCTCATACAATCATTCCTAAGCCCAAGGCAGAAATCCCAGTGGGGTCAGATCAGGCAATCAAAGAAAACATAACACATACTAAAAACATCACAACTGGGGAGAATGGGTGCTTTGTCATGAAATTCATGTAAAATAGCTTATTAGAATACGTCATCTGCTTGGTTGTAGGACATGTCCGACTCCACCACGACACCGATACCTTCACCATTATAATTTCTCTCATTTGAGGTGGCTTCACTGTGACTCTTCTTCCGTTTCAAAGGCTTCCCTTCCTGCGGGTCAGGTGGTTCAAACACGGAAGATCTCACTGTGTTAAGTCCTTCGGCAAAAGGAACCTCAGCCCTGGGTTCAGCAGAACCTGAATGGTGGGCTGGGGGCAAAAGTCTGTCACTGCGTAGTCTTTTCCTTATTTCTTCTTCTTTAGTCTGAAAAGCATTATAGAGAGTGAAAAACAAACAAACAAACAGAATAACCTCCAGGCGCTCATTAATATTGCTTGTAATGGACACTGTTGGCTTCTCTAGGTCCTTGTCTGTCATTTACCAAACAGGTTGAGCTACTACTATTGAAGGCTACAGACAGCATCACAGAGCTTCTGTCTAGTCCCTGTTTTCTGAGCCGTCACTAGGGAGATGGAAATGAAAGCTGTTAGACCAAAGCTCTGAGGCTGGGTTGCTTTCCAGAAGAGTGGCAACAAGTTAGGGGGATACCAGAGCAAAAGCTGATGGCCTGCATCTCCCACCTTCCACCCTGTCACCCCAAACCCCGCCCCAAGGGAAGTTATTATTTTTTTCATATAAAGAAAACTCCGCAGTGTACTTAGTTCTGAGAGTAAGCTACAGTTTCCTTAGGCGGTCCGATGCACCCAATTCAACCAGTGTCAAGATATTGTTTTATTCCTTCCATACACAGGGTATCAAACATGCAACATAGAGGGCCTCCCCTGGTGGCGCAGCAGTTAAGCACTGGGCTGTGAAGCTGCCCGCAGCCTCTGCAGCACCAGTTCGATCCCTGGCCACCAGGTGAGGGTCCCACATAGCATGGCAGACCTCTCCTGCCGCCCGCTGCTCCCCTCAGCAGTGTACTTCGTCAGTCTGCCTGTTCTGCTCCCCACTCAGTCTCTGGTGAATTCTCTCACCATCCCGCGCTTCTGACTATACCCAGCGCTTGTATGGATAAATAAATAAATAAATAAATAAATAAATAAATAAATAATAATTTTTTTTTAAAAATTAAAAAAAAAAAAACATGCAACATAGAAAGCAGATAGATCATTTCAAGATGTAAGACGGGGCCTCCTTGGTGGCACAAGGGGTTAGGCACCGCACTATGAAGAGATCCGCAGCCTCTGCAGCACAAGTTCAATCCTCTGGCCGGCCAGGGAGCTACCCACATGGTGTAGCAGACCTCTCCTGTCACGCCTGCTGCTCCCCTCAGCAGTGTATTTCGGTAGATCTGTCTGTTCTGTTCCCCACTCTGTCCCTGGTGAATCCTCTCACCTCCCATACCTCTAGCCTGTACCCCAGTTCCTGTTTGTATAAATAAATAAACCTTTACAAAAAATTAAAAAAAATGTAATATAGGGCCTCCCCGGTGGCGCAGCGGTTGAGCGCTGGGTTGCGAAGCTGCCCGCGGCCTCTGCGGCGCCGGTTCCATCCCCGGCTGCTCCCCGGCCACCGGAGGAGGGTCCCACATGGTACGCAGACCTCTCCTGCCGCCCGCTGCTCCCCTCAGCAGTGTACTTCGGTCCTTCTGCCTGCGCTGCTCCCTGCTCTGGCTCTGGTGAATTCTCTCACCCTCCCTCGCCTCTGGCCTGCACCCCAGTGCTTGTATAAACAAACAAACAAACAAACAAACAAAACATGCCTCTATTAAAAAAAAAATGTAATACAAATCCTTGCAATTTGTCGCAAAGCTGCTGATAGGAGCCCCTGCCTGGAGCTCAGGCGCGATGTACTCGCCCCAGGGAGCATTCCAGTACCTTCCTGCGTTCCTCTGCCGCCTGCAGCTTCTCGTCTATGTCCTTCATCGTGAAAGCCTTGACTTCCTTTTTGAGTTTAAGTTTTTTCAGTCTGGTTGGCGGTTTTCTCAGTGGCGTGTCTGTCGGGTTTACCTGGAGGAAGATACTTTTTAAAATGGAGAGACAGACATTCATGGGCCGAGGAGAAAGGCAGGAAAAGAAGAATAAACACAATTGAAAATGTCAGTTCTAAATTCTAAATTCTAAATTTCTATTGGCAGATTTAAAAACAAGATGAATGCACCAATCCCTAAAGATCTAATTCGTGGTGGGCCTCCCTGGTGGCGCAAGGGGTGAAGATGCAACCTATGAATCTGTCCGTAACCACTGGAGCACAAGTTCGATCCCCAGCTGGCCAGGGAGCTACCCACATGGTGCAGCAGACCTCTCCTTTCTCACCAGCTGCTCCCCTCAGCAGTGTGAGGGGATTCAGTCAATCCCCTGCTCTGTTCCCCACTCTGTCTCTGGTGAATCCTCTCACCCCCCACACCTCTGGCCTGTACCCCAGGTCTTGCATGCATAAATAAATAAATCTTTAAAAAATAAGATCTAATTCCTGGTAACCATAAGGCTAATTTTCAAAGATAAAAATCTATTAGATTCCCAGACTTATTTATAGGCTATTACCAAAATGATAAAATATGCAAAGATATTTTGAAGCTGGAAAAGAACTCAGGAGAAGAAAAAAAAAAAAAACACCTTGGGAATGAATGCAAGAGGGCAAAAGGCCCTGCATGAGCAGTGAATTTTTAATTCAAGATAAAAAGTTAAACTTGATAATTCCTGCATCCCTCTGGGTTCTTCTCTGACTAAGCAAATTAAAATCAGACAGATCAGTAGAAGAAAAAGAACAATGTATGAAGAATCTACATGGCTAAAAGTTCTAGAGTGAACAGAACAAACCGAAGATTTATAGCCTGAGTTAAGGAACAGGATAGGAGCCCGGGGCATTGGAGAGAGTCTCTCAAATGAAGAGGAGAGGGTGACTCAAAGAACAAAACGTGCCTCTAGGTGTTTGCCTGCCATATTAATAAGTTTCTCCAATAAAAAGTTGTGTTTTATTTGTCCCTGGAGTTAACCTTAAATCTGGGCAGTCTTCATTCTTTTGGGTAATGACTGGCTTTCTCTTGAAGCTCATGGGGCTCAATTAACCTTAATTTCACATGCCTGGGTGACATTTATTGGAAAAAGCCTACTCTGGATGTGTTGGGGGTGGGGAGAGCTATTCTGAGTATTCAGAGGGAGATCAATCTTTCAATAACATTCCACACACTGCAAACTATTGTCATTTGGGATAGAGATTAGGTCTTACCACTTTTTGTCTAGTGGAGGAGAAAATTACTGACTAGTAACTCTGCACTGGGCTTTTCACAACTTTCATCACAGCAGAAGGAATCCTCCCAATTTATGTATTTGATTTACCCTTTCACAGTCCAAAGCAATAGGAATGAATTTCTGACCATCATTTCTAGTTATAAAGTAGAATTGTAAAGGGTTTATAAAGAAAGTTTTAATTTACATGATTTTCTTTTAAAATTAGTTTTTTATATAATATACATTGGTGAGAATGTATATCATATCATTAAAATGGTACTTAAATAATCTCCTAATCCCTGGTTTAATCCCCTGACCCCCCAATCCACTCATTAGCATGAACCATTTTAAAGAGTTTGTTGTATACCTTCTCAAACATTCTCTATGTTTGAGGAATATTTGGCCAAACATAAATGGAATCATACCATGTACACTGCTCTAAAATTTGCTTTCTTCCCTTAATTTAACACGGGCATCTTGCTCAGTTATATAGATTTATCACAACTTGGGAAGTCCTCTATGGATGCTGAGGCTTCATAATAAAACAAACTGAATATTTTTCTAGATCATTTCTCTAAAGACTTTTAAAGACAAAGGAGCTGTTGCTGTTCATTGGAATACCTAAAAGACTGACTCTTCATTCTACAAGACTGAGTATTTTATTTTACTGAAAGGATAAATCAGAGAGGTAATTTAGTATAATAAGAAAGGGTCCCAGATCCAGGCCCAGACAGACCTGGGTTTGAATTCTGCCTTTGCATGAGTTCTAAACTGTAAAGTAAGTTTAATAAGACTTACTTCACAGAATTGCTTTAAATGGGGAACATATATATAATATTATATTATATTAATATATATTTATGTATTATAATATATTATATTTATATATTATTATAATATATAATATTATATATTATATTAAATTTATATATAATATATAACACAATTATATATTATATTTATATATTATTATATATAATATATATTATATTATATTTATATATTATTATATCGTTATATTTATATATTATATAATATATATATTATAGTAATATATTACAATAATATATTACTATAATATATTAATAAATATAATATAACATATAATATAATACATTATAATATAATACATAGTATATAATATATAATAATAAATCATAGTGTATATAATATATAATATAATATAATATAATTAAATAATATGATTTATTTTATTTTATATTATATATTATATTATGCATATTAGTCATATATATGTTATATATATAATATAATATATATATATTAGTCACTCAGCAGTAAAGGTTACTTTTAGTCAATGAAAACAGTAGCTTTTCTGTGCCATCACACCAAATCCTAACCAAGGTGTGGTTTTTGTCACAAAAGGGAAGACTAAGAATCCACCCTCAGTGCCAGGGGACAGAGGCCTGGGCTTTATCCTGGTCTTCTGCTAATACTCAGTGCATGACCCAAGATGAGACACCTCTTCCCTTTGGACTCAGTTTCCCTCAAATGTCCAAACAGTTGGGATTAAGGCAATGGGTTTCCTCCTAGCTTTAAGATCTCTGATTCTTGGAAAGGCTTTTAAAGGGAAAACATTCATTGAAGTTTGGCCTCAGTTACTGCCTTCAGCTGGTTTTTCGGTCATGAGTTGTTTGCTATGTGAATACAGTACTATTTTGTCAAAACAAGGCCCCTGTCCCATCATTGTATTATTTTTTTCAACAACTAGCTCTTGTTATTTTGTGGCAAAAGCCATCTGCTGAAAAGAAGGACATATTTGCTATGGTGGCTTAAGTACAAAGTATTAAATTAGTATGAAAACAGCTTTTTAGAGGAGTTCACTCAGAAGGCTAAACAAAACATAATGGTAACCCAAGATCCGGTAAGGAAAGACTCCACCATACTCAATGTAGAAGTGTAAACCTTGACTAAAACGATGAGACTGGACCTCTGAGAGAACTTGGGCTTTCTGCTTTGGGGGACAATTCCTGGCCTTTATCCCACAGTGAGGCCTGTGAAATCATGTTCTTCCTCCCTCCTGTGGGAGTTAATCCTAACTGAGCAGCCCTCATCCCCTCTGCGTCTGACATTTTGAGTAAAAGAATTGAAAGATCCAAGGGCAGGTATCTATATTCTTTATGGATTTTTACAAAGTTAGGATTTATAAACTGTTGGATTTTAAAATGATGAAAATGATCATATTCTGCTTAGATTGACACTACCAATAAAAAGTCTCAAAACAAATCAGCTTGAAAACTGATAGAAGTTACTAGTCCAGTTACTTAAGAATTCCATCAGATAAATATCGAATGGTTTTACTTATACGGGGAATATAGAGGAATAGAATAAAGGGTCAGGAAAAGATGCAACGTGCAAGCTGACCATAGATGTGAGACATCCAGCAGGGGAGGGATAAGGAGGGGGGTCAAAACAGGGTAGGGAAGAGCACCAGGGACTGTGGTGATGGATCGCGGATGCTGTGGTGGTAGGAGAATTAGAGAGTCTACACCTCAGGGGAGGATTCAAATAATGTCCAAAAATTAACAATGATGTAAGAAAATAAATACATTAATAAAAGTAAATAAATAAAAGCATTCCATCAGCGACTGCCCAATGCAAAAATTCTATGATAAGATTTGGACCTTCTAGCCAACCTAACTTGCGTGTCATACTTCTTATTCTGTATTCCTCAGCGTTTTCCTAATTCACTTGTGACCTACAGATGAACCCACCTTGGCTACACTCCCTGATGGGCTTGGTAGCCAACGTTTCCTGCAGGAGTTCTGTTCATTCCAGAAGCCACTGCTGGACCTCCAGGGGAGGGTCACCCAGTATTAACTGGCACTGGTCTTCACCTAGCCAACTTCCTCTTAAAAAACTCCCCATGAGGTTCAGCAAATAATGTTAGAGGCTCTGATGTCATGTGAACTAACTCCCGGACCACACTAGAGGTTACCAAGGACAGAAGTGACCGGAGAAAAATATCAATTTTCACCAGAGACAGGAGGACTCAATAGAGAATTTGCCCTTGTGCCAGGAAACCTAGAATGTGTTATGAAACAGGGAGAAATGAATTTGGGATAAAAGACACCTATAGGGAAAAGCACCTACGTGGATAAAGGAAAGCCAATCATATTTCTCTAGGGAGACCTATATTAACCCATACATACATTTGCATGTGTACACAGAACAACACACAGTGTAACACAGCTGCTGAAGTCGCCTTAGAATGTTTTAAAATATACTGAGTCATTTAACTGATATTTAATTTCTTAATATTTTATGTCTGGCATATCATTATAACTTTTTCCAGGTCTTCTAAGTGATTGTAGGGGAAAAAAATGGAAATATTATTAAACGGCTAATGCTTTAAATATCTAGTAATGATTTTTAGGAAAAAACAGATTTGATAAAAATGGCCAAAAACAAGTCAAATGAAGGGAATCGTAGCAACTATTAGTAAGAGCATGTCCAGAGGGCACTGTAAAATCATGACAGTAGTTAATTGAAAGCAAATGATTAAAAAATGACAAAAATTAAGGAAGAAGAAGACAGGCATACTTGTGGTGGACAGAGATACCTCTGTGGACCCCTAGGAAGAAATTGGCTCACAGGGAAGGCCCCTGATTCAAAGCTGAATGGGGGACACTTACTTTTCAGTACCTTTCCATTTTACCTAAAATGTGCCTGAATTAAAGATAATGAGCAGGCTAAGAAGCAGCTCAGTGTCTAAAAATGCCCTTGTATTTAAGTATACTACTGATCTCCAGAAGAAG